CCTAAAACCTAATGCATGCCATGGTGAAAATACCCACCAAACTCTTCCATAAAATTGAAAAGGAAAGAATACTGCCCTACTCATTCCTTGAAGCTAGCATCACCTTGGTACCAAAACCAGATGAAACATCAATATAAAAAAGAACAATTGCCAGTTTTCTTCATGGACATAGATGGAAAAATCCTCAACAAGATACTTGTAAACAGAATGCAACAAATCATTAAAAAGATCATACATCATGACCAAGTTATCTTCATCTTAGTGAAGCAAGGATGGTTCAACATATGTAAATCAATAAATGTAATACACTACATAGATAAAAATGAGGATGAAAACCCTATGATCATCACAATAGGTGCAGAAAAAACCTTTGACAAATTCAAAATCTAATTATAATAAAAATCCTGATAAAGGATTTTTTAAAGGTATAGAAGAACCTTACTTTGAATTGAAAAAAGCCACTGCCAATATCACACTAAGTGGAAAAAACTGAAAGCATGCACTCTAAAATTCGAAAAAAGACAAGAGTGCCCACTATCACTACTTCTGCTTGATATAGTACTTGGAACCTTAGTCAGGATAATCAGGGAAAAGAGAGAAATAAAAAGGGTATGTAAAAGAAAGGAAGAAGTCAAAGTATCCTCATTTGCAGATGATGCAATGCTTTACATAGAATACTCCCCCGCCCAGTACTCCACCAAAAGTCTTCTTGAACTAATAAATTCAGCAAAGTAGCAGGATATAAAACCAACACAGAAAAATCAATATCATTTTCATATATTAACATTGAATCCACAGTGAGAGAAGTAAATAAAAATTCAGAAAATTAAATACCGAGGAATTAGTTCAACCAAGGAAGTGAAAGACCTCTATAACAAAAACTATAGTGGTGCTGGGGATTTAGCTCAGTGACACCACGCCTACCTTGCAAGCGCAAGGTCCTGAATTCAATCCCCGGTACCAGGCAGGATGGGGGAACTATAGTACTCTAAAAAAAATAAAAAGATGGAAGAGGCTATCAGGAAATAGAAAGACATCCTTTGTTTTCGGATAAGCAGGGTCAATATTGTTAAAATGCCATATTACCAAAAATGGTATATAAATTTAATGCAATTCCAATAAAAATAATAACAGTATTTTTCACAGAACTAGAAAAAACAATTCTAAAATTTATATGAAACAAGAAAAAACCAAGAATAGCCAAAGTGATCCCAAGCAAAAAGAGGAAAATAGGAGGGATTACAACCGTAGACTTTAAGTTATTTTACAAAATGAAAGTGATAAAAATAGCACACTTCTCACACAAAAAACAGACATGTTGACCAATGGAATAGAAACAAGCCCCAGCACCTTTCACTACCTGTTTTTTGACAAAGTGACCAATAACAAATGTTGGAAAAAGCCTCTTTTTAACAAATAGTTAAAATGGGAAAATGGGTTATTGATCTGCAGAAGAATAAATCTAGATCCACACCTCACCCTGTAATAAAATCAGATAAAAAAGGATCAAAGACATAGATATAAAAGCAGAAATATTGAATACTGAAAGAAAATTTGAGTAAACTCTTGAAGACATAGGCACAGGCAAGGATTCACAAGATATAACACCAAGAATCAACAAATGAGATCATATCAAATTTAAAAGTTTCTGAAGATCAAAGGAAAGAAACAATAGAGTAAAGAGAAAACCTGCAGAATGACAGAAAAATTTCCAGTTACTCCTTTAACAGAGGAATTGCATCTAGAATGTAGAAAGAACTAAAAAAAATTAGAGTTCTAATAGTATACTCCATCACAAATGGGCATTTACAATGAATAGCACTTCTCAAAAAAAGATATACAAACGGTCAATAATTTCATGGAAAAATGTTCAGCATCTTTGGTTATTAGAGAAAGGCAAATCAAAACAACACTGAGATTCCTTCTTACTCCAGTTAGAATGGCTATTATCAAGGACTCAAAAACAACAAATACAGCCAGTCATGTAATCATAGCACTAGGGAGGGTGAGGTAGGAGGATTGCCTTGAGTTCAAGGCCAGCCTGACTACATAATGAGTCCAAAGCCAGCTTGAACTGTATAGGGAGCTACACTCTGTCTCAAAAAATCAAACAAACAAACCAACCAACAAAAAGCCACACAAATACAAATAAACCAAATATTTGTGGGGTTTTGGGGAAATAGGAACTCTTCTACATTTTTGTGGGGAGTATAAACTATTAAAACCACTATGGAAATTAGTATGGAAGTTCCTCAAAAAGCAAAAACTAGAAATTCTATTTTACTCAGTTATACCTCCTCTGAGTATCTCCTGGATACAGTTAAAATCGTCATATTACAGTGATACCTCCATACCCATGTTTATAGCAGCATACTTCACAAGAGCTAAATTATGGAACATTCCTATATGCCCATCAACAAATGAATGGATAAGGAAAATGTGGTATTTGTACACAACAGAGTAATACTCAGCCATAAAGAAGGGTAAATTTGAGTCATTTGTAGGGAAATAAGTGCAATTTGAGATCATAATGCTAAGAGAAGTAAATCAGACATCGAAGTTTAAATAATGTATGGTTTCTCTAATATAAGGAACTCAAAATATAAATAATTTAACTAGCAAAATAAAAGAGAAATGGTAGGAAATAGGGAGATAGACTGTGTAGATGGCAGGGATCTGGAAAAGGTGGGTAAGGGAAGGAGAGTTGGTAGAAAAAGGGGAGTAACAAAATGATCAAGAGGTGAAATTTATATATATTTATTCTCCAAGATAAATGTAATTATTAGTCTCACAGATGTGCTAATTAAAATATGCATTACACAATAAAATAAAAAGTACTATACCATTATAAATATTTTTCTATGTAGAGTTAACAACACAGCAAATATTATTTATGTATTTATCATATTAATAACAAATACTGCAGAAGAAGGTATTTGTTTAGCATGTCAGGATTTTAAAAAGCCATTTTCTGGGTCTCTTTATGAACCCTAACCCACTTGCAGTCACTTCTGTAATGCCAAACCCAGACCAAGTGGCTGGAGATACACAGCAAGGCGCATGCTGACAATGCTGAGTTCATAAAGATGGCCAGGTATGGACGATAGATTGTCCAGTCATAGAGCCCAGGTCATATGACCTTTTTGGAGATGTTCTTTGCTCACAGCATCTTCCTTTGAATCCTGAGAGGGTGCACAGACAGTGCTCCGTGGCATTGCAGTGCGCTCTGGAAGTGAAATAACTTGGACAGAATGCCCAGAGAGCTGTTTATCACTGCACTGTTCATCAGATGGGTGGATTTTCTGGCAGGTACAACTATGGGTGGGCTGCTTGCACTGTAGGAGACACAGAAAACCTAGGGAAGGGGAAAGCAAAGGAGCAGGATGAAAGAACAATGGAGAATCACAGAAATATTTCTCTCCATAATGGCAGAAGACCCCAACCCAAAGCCTAGTGGATTCCTGTAACCTAGTCAAAGCCATCCTGGAAGGAAATGCTTTCATGGAAAATACTGGAAGTATATGTTCAAGAAAATTGAGGATTCTTTTTGACAGAGGACAGTCTTCTATCTGGGTTAGGAAGTGCAATTCCCAATGGGTAGGTGGCCTTTTAGAATCAAATACTGCTTCTCTCTGCCCTCAAGCCACCTTGGCACTACCATGTATTCCCAGGGTCACTGCCCCTCTCTTCAAATGGACATCTTGGCTCAGCCACCCCCCTTGGTGGCAATTTTGATGATTATCTCTGCCATAAAGCGGGAAGGAAGGAATGAAACGCAGAAGAAAAAGCAGAGATTAGGAGCTGCTCTCCCTTGCTGAGGCAGGCATAGCAAAGCCATCACTGAGGCCTGGTTTCCTGGTTGGTCTTGTAGGAGCTGTCTGCAGGGAATGAGTCCAGGCAACGCTTAACCTTTTCAAGTGCAAGGTTTGGCATCTTCCCCTCTCCCATCTTTTCACTCTCCCCTCTGATTCTCACCCCTCTTCAAGGGCCCTGCAGACACTCACCACAGGTAATAAAGAAGACAGTGGCTAAGTAGGGAGTGAAAGGAACCCTCATGGTCTGGAAACTAGAGAAGTACAAGGCCTGATCATGCTTTAGCTTATGATGATACAGTGCTAACGTACCAAACAGAAGGCAACCTGGTATCCAAAAAAAGGAGAAAAAAGTCCTTTCTCAGGAACTTTGACTCCTTTAATTAAGCTTTCACTCAAAATACAACAGACTTCCAGCCTCCACCCTGTTTAAGTGCACCTTGTCCAACGACTGAGCCCACTTTAGTGCTAGCTCTGACATATATATATATATATATATATATATATATATATATACACACACACACATATACTTGCTGGACTTTCCACTTCTCTGACTCTATATACTCAGAGAAGTGGAAAGTCCAGCTAGTCACAGACTGCAGTCTAGGACTCCAAACCCTCTACATCTCACACCTGAATACACCTGTATTAGGGTAGCCAGGAAGTTACCCGTGAGGAAACAGATGAAGGCAATGATGAAGTGCATATATCTATTCTGAGGAATCATATAGGTGTATTGCATACCCAGGATCAAGTTAAGGAAGAAGGAAAGGCAGAGGACCAACATCATCATGATCCTGACCACTTTCAGGCTATCTGTTGGAAAGTAGAAGCTGTGTTGAGAATGTAGATATTTCTTCTAGTCTCATAGCTGGGGCCCACAAATCCCTAGGTAAAAATGGGATCAGGTCAAATTGATGAAATTATAAGAGAGGATGGGGAAAAGAACAAAGAAGCAGAGCTCCTTAAGCTGCATGAAAGAATGAGAATAAACTGTTCTCTATCTTGGTGTTTCTATAAGCTTCCTTCTGCTCTTTTCTCAGACCTCACTTCTTGTTAAATTCTTCAATTTACTCTGTCCTCTTCTAATTTCAGCATAACTTATTTTCCTTCTGGCAGTTACTTATTTTCATACCCCTCATATTCTAGCTGTGCTGTTCACACTGATGATGCTGACAGGATTTCTCAAATTTTCAGCAACTAAGTCTGTGAACTTCTATCTCTTCTCCCAGGCATCTACATTGTGAAGCTTTGGAGTCTGCTTTGACTATATTGATAATGAAGTTGGCATCCTACAGCCTGTGAAAGTTGCTCCAGAGAATAATGGATAAATTGGCGAGCTGATCAAAGGCAAAGAAAAATAAAACTGTCCTCTCCACCCATCCCTTTTCATCATTCTGACCTTCTGGCCAAATGGTACTGCAGCATGTCATCCATGGACTGTGGCTTATCTTATCCTTTTTTATTTTTGGAACTAATTCAACCCATTCTTCTATGAAGACGCCTACCATCAATGAGACTACAGCCCATGAGGAGAGGAGTAGGTTGGTGGCCTGAATATTTTTCTTTGACGTATGAGAGTGGAGCTTTCTGATGAGACCATCACCCACATTTCATATATCTCTCTTTCGTTTTGATTACTCACAGGAAGAAGAGCTAAATTTGCACTTTTAGTTATGGCTAAGGCATTGGCTGCTGGCAGAAGCTGAAGTAGCCTATGAAACAGAGACCACTTCCTGTTTTCCCCACTTCTATGTTAAGGCTACAAACTGCCATAGAATCATCTGCTGGTTTGACCCTTGACACCAGGGCCCAGTGCAGTGGAAGAATCAAAGTGCCTTGAGCTCTTTGAAGAGCTCTCAGATATATGGGGAAACCTGATATCACAAAAGTGGCAGGGGGTGGGGAGATAAATAGAAGTCTTGAAAAATTAAACATGCATGACTTACCAAGGCCTCTTTTAGAATTAAAATTATATATTCCACGATTAGCTAACATTCCAGAATTAGCTAACATTTGGTCAGGATCACTGAGGAGGAGGACTCAAGATCATTGAGATGAGCAGTCAGCTACCTGGCATCATAAAGGTGAATTATCATTCAAAATTTAGGATGCTTCAAAAGAACTCAGGTCCTCACTGGGATTTTCCAAAGGAGCTTAGGTAGACATCTGGGAAACAGACTCGTGCCTTAAAATTGAAAAAGCTGGCCTGGTACACTGAGCCATTGCAGTCCAAAATCATTTGCAAGGCACAGACAACATTTATTGCCAGAATTGCTTTTGCAACTTGACAGAGAAAACATTTTTGAGTTGCTTGAATAGGCACACATGGTACACACTAGGTTCAGAGTGGGAAAGCTTGTACTGATAGTCCCACAATGCTAATTTTACTCAACTAAGAGGAAAGTTATCTACAAAGGACTCTCTCTGCCTAATTTTTTTGATCATGTTGTAGGCCACTTTCTTTAGTTCACAATGGCCTTGTAAATTCCTTCACATATGCTATACTGTCTCTCTTCCAGACCACTTCATATGTCCTTTGATACTATATTTTCCTTATATTTTTCATTTTTTAAAAAGCAATGACTGGGTGGGGATGTAGCTCAGCAACCTGCCTGGTAAGCACAAGGCCCTGAGTTCGATTCCTGGTACCAGGGGGAAATAAAAGCAATGACTAACAATATATTTGATCTCACAAGGGAGGTTTTATAGTTAAGAGCATGGACTCAGTATCCTGCATTAAAATCCTGGCTGTGCCACTCAACAGTCATGTGCTCTTAGAGATAATAATGGTTCTTACTATATAACGATTTTATAAAGATTAAGTGAATTTTGAGATATAAAGCACTTGAAAGCGTTCTTTGCACACAGTCACTAACGTATAAACAATTACTATTGAACTGACTTGAGTTCCCTGGGAAAGAGACCCTGAGGCAGAGGTTGGTATGAGGACAGTGTATTCCAAAGAGCTCCTGGGAACCCTGTCTGTGAGTGCTGAGCAGGTTTGAACAGGAATTGAATTGAGATGTCATCATTGTGATAGGAGAAACCTTAACCAACCCCATCAGAAGCACAGGATCTGTGACAGTCCTTGAGGTCATTCTGAATAGAGGCAAGAGAGGTCAACTTTTCCACTGAGCATCGGCTTTTGAATGTAGGCTGGTCCTGGGTGATATCTCCCTGTGTCTCAAAGGGGGATTGTTGAATGTCTCAAAAGTGTGAGGCCCAGAGCCAGTATTTCTGGTGGTTGTGGGCAATGAGGTTACATTATTCCTCTATCAAGGCCAGTTTGCGGTTAGGGTTGCCACCTGCTACAAAGTCAATTATTTCCTGCTTTGTAGTGGAAGAACCAAGAGGATAGATAGGCAACTCATGTCATTATGTTCTTACATGTAGATGGTTTTCTTTCTGTACCATAGATCCTTAGCAGTAGGATTCCTGGGTTGAAAGATTTATGTCTCTTTTAAATCTTAATAGATAGTAGCACTAAAGATTCAAAATGTGACCAAGTGAGAGAAAAAGAAAGGATGTGAAAGGCGAGTGAGATACAGGTCAAAGAAAAAAATCTGGTTTCCAGCTGGGAACTGGTGTTCAAGAATGCTATTACTTACAGACTGAATTATGAGGGGAAGCAGAAGTGTGGGGAGGAAGAGGTTAGCAAGTGCTGCTTCTGGTTAAGGTGAAGGTCACAATAGGACACAAAATTGACAGAAAGAATTTAATTCTGGCCCTTGATGACTGATTAGAGGGCTATCAACCAACGGTTGGTCGTTAAAATTGAAATGTACATGTCACCATGTGGAAATATCACACAGAATGTGACAAGATCAAAGAAATTCTGGAGAATGTCAACATTTATAAAAAAGCACAAAGAAGGAATGGTAAGAGATATGGTAAAGAAATATAAAGGTTTTCCAGGAATTAAAGAGAAGGTACATTTTTTTCTAACATTTTTAACTGACACAAAATAATTGGACATATTTATGGTACAGGGTACAGTGTGATAATTTACTACATATATATGATGTGTAATGTCAAATTGGGGCAATGATCTAAAATACATAAAGATGTTTTATGTCTCAGAAGTTTTTCAGAATAGTTCAAGAGATGATCATTGAAGCTAGATAAAGAATACATGGAAATTCATTATACCACCCCCCCACCTTTTTTTTTTTTTAATCAAAATCACACATTTCTTCTTGGAGCTGTAATTGTACTATTTTTCCCTTTGTTGTTACTTACTGACTTTAGTTGCTGGTTAGTAGAACAATGTCTCTTCTTGTACTTTCACTTCTCCCATCTTTTCTTTTATTAGAAACTTCTGAACTCTTGTAGTTATTTTGAAAAACTATAGTTTTGGGGAGGAATTAAATCATATTTTCTAATGCTGCAGATAAATAAAACTAGGTGGAAGCTGAACATAGGCCACTGAATTTAACAATTAGAATGGCATTGGTGATTTTGGCCACAGCACTTTCAGAAGAGTGATAGTTGAAGTGGAGGTATCCGTAGAGACAGTTTTCTGTCCTTGAAGTCATTTTTCCTTAATAGTTGTACCCTCAGAGCCTGAGGCAGCATTTTTCATGCATTAGAGATTTCCTGAGCAGATGAATTTTCACAGGTCTCACCTTGACTTTGATACTTACCATCCACCTTTGTTAGCCTGTAAAATTCAATAGGTGAGTACACTTGTGAATTGGTGTCTCATACATCTGAGTTATGGTCTTGGTGAAGTGGGAAAGGGGGCTTAGCTGTTTGTTTCTGTCAACGCTACTACAGAAATATGACCTTGTATTTAAATAGTCACCAGAACAATTTACATTTTGTCCAATTTAATGTTTTAATGCAACCCCTCACTTTTTTTGCTTAAATTTTTTTATTGGTACATTTTAGGTATACAATATGTTTATATTTATCATAGGGCACTTGTACCTGTACATGATGTATCTTGGTTCTTATTTTTTCCCCATTCCCTGTCCTCCCTTCACCCCCTCCACCCTTCCCTATTCATACTTTATTCCCATTCTTTCCTTTTCTCATAATTTTTTTCCCTTCTTACCTTTCCCCTCCAACTTCCCCTACCCCTTTGCACCTTTTCTTCCTATTTTAAATTACCAATTATTCATTTTAATCATTTTGCAAACCCTTTCTTTATTTCAGCTACTTTGTCTTTTCTGTTTCCTCTCCATCACTTCAGTGTGATTTCCTCCTCTGTTATTTGGCTTTCTTTCCTAGGTTATTGCTTCAGAAGAAATGTAGATGTGATGGTAAAATCTTCTCTGGCTATAGCTCTGCATGAAATTTGAGTTCTCTGTAAATCTCTGAAGAAGCTGAAGGGAGAGATCTTAGGAAGGGAAACATTTTTTAGTCTCTGATGAGTTAGCACCTGACAAAGATAAGAGAATATCTTTATTGAAAAAGAAAAATGGAGATATAAATTTTAAGAAATAAAAAGGTCTTAAAATCATTATTAAAAAGAAAAAATAAAGGGAACAAAAAGAAGAGAAAACATAAGATACATTTAAAAAAGTCATAAATTACACTATACTACTGCAGCACCTAATTTTCTTTTGCATATTACCTCCCATTTATATTTATATGCATACATGTTCTACATGTCTATGGTCAAAATGTTCATACTCTGTGTAGCTAATAGTATGAGCATTGGAGACAGTCTTTAATACACTCACAGTCCATTTGTCACTGTACAAAAGTGTGTGATAGTATTTTCCTGTAATACATGTGTTGTGTTCACAGATTGTACTGTAACTCATGTTGAAAAATGGGACGGAAGTTATGTGGTAGGATTTCCTCCCTGTTTCTTCTTCCACAAGATATGTAGTAAACATTACTAATGGAAGCAAACCTATATGCTGCTAGTTTATATTTTATAAAACTCTTCTGTGCATTTTTCTCATGTAACCCTCAAAAAAACCTTTAAAATTTAAATAGAACAACTATTCATTTTTAATTTATTTTGTCAATAAAGAAATCTTGGCTTACAGAGGAGAGATAACTTGCTCAAAGACTACACACACCTAGTAAATAATAGAAATGGATCTCAATAGGTCTTGAAAATGAAAAGCTGATTTCTCTCTCTCTCCCTCCCTCCCTCTCTCTCAGTATTTGCTCCATCCAGACATTCAGTTATCAGGATGTACAGCATGAATCATGAATCATGTCATCCTTGAAAGATAACTATGAAGGGTTAAGAAATAATCTTAAAACTGGAATTCATTTGGGACTGTGCTTACAAGTAAAAATGTTTCCTTCCCATATTTTTCTTGTAAAGTAGAAACTATAACATTATTGATTGCAGATTGACTTGCAAATAATTGTGCATAGTCCCATCTGAGTCAATTAAAACTTTTAAAAAAAACAAGAACTCTGGAGACTACAAAGAAAATGGAATAATTATTAATCTAATTTAGTGCCTTTGTCACTTAGTGGCCTGATTAAGTACCTCTGTGACCCAAAGAATAATTTTCAAGAATAAGAAAACCTAATAGTGAACTTCTGAGCCTGTGTAGCCCAGGACTGGGATTTTCACTGGTACAGAAAACATGAGAATTGTACATACTAATAGAGTAATGTGATATTTTGATACATATACATTGTATAGTTTTCAAATCAGATTAGATATATCTATCCAAACCTTTATCATTTTCTTATGGTAAAACTTTCAAAATCTTTACCACTAACTTCTTGTTTTATTCTTGTTTGTTTTTTTGAGACAGCATCTTAGTATGTAGTTCAGGCTGGTTTTGTACTCACTGAGTAGCTCAGACTGGCCTTGAACTAGCAGCAAGCAGTAATCCTGCTGTCTCAGTCTTTTAAGTACTGGGATTATAAGCATGTGCCACCATGCTTGGGGTCCTCTAACTTTTTAAAATTTGCAGCACTGTAATGTTATCTGTAATCTCTCTACTGAACATTAGCACATTAGAACTTCTTGCCCCTAATTGTAACTTAGTACCCATTGATCAACTTACCCTCCCCAGCCTTTGACAACCACCATTCTACTCTTATCTCCTATGAAATCAACTTTTAAAAAGTATTCCACATATAAGTGCAGTCATACGATACTTGTATCTGGCTTATTTCACTAACATGACAATCTATTTGCCATGCACATTGCTGCAGATGACAGAATCTCATTCTTTTTTAAAGAATGGATGTCATTTCATTGTGCATATATACACAACATTTTCTTTACCCATTCATAGGTTGATAGACACCTTGGTTGATTTCATATCCAGCCTCTTGTGAATAGTGCTGCAATGAAAATGGAAGTGCAAATGTCTCTTCACCACAATAATTTAATTTTTTTGGTTATATACCCAATAGTGACACTTCTGGATCACGTGGTGTTTCTAGTTTTCATTTTTGAGGATTCCTCCATTCTGTTTCCCATATTTGCTCTACTAATGCCAACATTTAAGTATCTCTTCTAGTGACAGCACTTGTAGACTGACACTTCAGGATACTGGCCAAGCTGTGGCACTTGGTCTTTGGAAGTGTTTCTTGTCCTCTTATACCTTTTCTGCAATACTCAGATTCTTTTACATGGAGCTGAAGGAATCCACTAATTCAGGAGTTTTTAGTCTGAGTTCTTTTGGCCCCTTTAGCTTCTCTTCATGATTTACCTGAATATCTGTGCAAACTTTTGTGACTGATGCATTACTTCGAGAGGTCAGTGATAAGATTAGCATATATTTCCCTAGCCAAGTATACTAGCTTTGTTATTGGGTAGAGCTTTTGCCCCAAGTCTGGTTTTGGTTTTCACATCTGCATGATGTGTACTAAGTTGTCTAAAAAGATACTAAAAATTCCTCATATATTTCTCCACATATATGTAGCCATCTTCCTTCTTGTTTTCTCTTTGGGAAATGTGGGGTCTGGTGTGAGGCATTCTTAGATTTTCTTCTTGCTAGCTGTGTGGCCTTGAACAAGTGCCATGATATTCCAAGTTCCTGTGTTAAAGTACTTAGCTTCAGTAGACCTCTATGACACAAGCTGCTAGTATAAATAGAAGTAGGTTATATGATCCCATACAGTATTTGATTTTAGTGATAAGTAAGAAATTTGTGTCATACATATCTACTCTTCTTATATCATTAGCCCCCCATTCATTGATTGATTTGTTCTGCTTAAGAATTGTTCTTATTTTGTGATTTATTAAGTAAATAAAAATCCTCCCACATGAACTCATTTTCATTGGTTTTTCAGATCATTATTTTCTAAACAGGCAAGAACAAAATATTCTGATTGAAATAAATGCCTGATGGGAATGATTATGATACTGAAAAAATGAAACTATAAGCCAAAAATGGTGTTAGGTCATAGAAATACATGCTGAATGACGAATTGTCCTAATTTTAACAAGCTCCCAAACAGTAGGAAAGACCAGCACATGTATGTATATATGGCAAGAAATGCTACAACAGAGGTTAGCTAAAAGGGAGGGTAGATAATGAAGGGAACATGAACAATACCAAAGTCACTTTTCATAAGAAAAGAAATTGATTTGAGAATGTGTCTTAATACTTATACAATAGGAGTAAGTAATGGCCATCTTTTATCTACCTTTTACCAATTTACTTCCATCATTACTAGACACTGGGAGCACTGAATCTACTGCCTTTATCCAAGACACACTTCAGCTGTGCCCAAAGTCCTTCACATAGTCCTTATTTTCTGCTTCTTAGTTCACTTGCTTGTGTCCTTATCTATGTCTTGAACATCCTTTTAGTTTGTGAATCCTCTCTACTTTTGAAGGCAGTTTAAAATCTATCCTTCCATAAAGATTGTCTTTATTGCTGCAAGTAATAGTGATCTGCTTCATATCTGAGTTTAAAAAGCATTATGAGCATAAAGGAGGTGTGATCTAAAAATCTGGTGAATGTTTAGATTGATTAGTCCTTGTAAAGACTAACAAAATTGGACTCTCAGAACTACTTCCAACAGTGATAGAGTGATGGAATAAGTGTATTTGAATCAAAGGAAAGTATTTGAGGGGGACTAATGACTGTGTCTTTCACTGTAATAAATTTATTATTTAAACATTTACTCCTTGTAGGTTTCACTGTTCATGACATTTCATATATTCAACAGTATGTCAGGCAGGCAATTGTTGGACCCTACTCCACCTCCACTTCTGAAGGGACTCATTTGGAGCAGTGTGCCTAATCTATGGTAGATGTCCCAAATGATAGGCTAGCTTGGGGACAGTTCTTACAAATTCTCAGATTGCTAAGGCTCAAGAGATAAGAAACTCTGGGGACTACTGGTCTTTATATTTCTAGGCATAAAATACTTAAACTAAGAATAAACACCACAACTCCTTAGTTGTGGTTGTTTAGACTTTTGAAGAAAAAGGTATAATTAATACATCTTTGCTTGTAAAGTGATGAGATTAGAAGAAAGAAGAGATACAAGCTTCAGGAGGAAGAAGGTGAGGTTTCAGATTTATGATATTCATATTGTATGGATATTAAGACATAGTCTAAAATTCACCCCTGGCTGCCGATGAGAGATCTAGAGTATCTGCATGTTTGTGGCCCACTGAGTAACAGGAATGGAGGGAAGAGGCCATGGGCATCACCTTAGATTTGGTTCTGTGCTAACCACTCACCTGACCTAAGTACCCTCAGGTCTAATCTGTGAACCAATTATGAAATCACCAGCTTTAAAATATACTTCCCAATATAAGCATGCAGATCTTATGATGATAAAGTCCACTCACAAATTATTTCATTTAATTTGAACAACATTTATCTAAATAATTTATTATTTTTTTGCAGATTAAACCATGAATCTCACAGAGACTCTATGGTGAGTCCAGTGTTACAGTGCAAGTCTTAGAGCTGGGGTTGAAACTGAAGCTTATGACCCATCATTTAGTCCTCATTTTGCCACCTCTGTACTCATGGTAAAACTGAGATTTCAGATTTAGAAAACAAAATGTCATTCCTGACCTATGCTGTCCAATAGTATAAGCACCATAAGTGGCTACTGAGCATTTGAAATGTGACCAGTGTGACTTGAGGTGTGCTGTATGTGCAGAAATACACTGTGGATTTCACCATTTGTACTGCTCAGGAGAAAGAAAGAAAATCCAAAATTTTTATTAAATTTTTTATATGGTTTACATGTTGAAGTGGTAATGTTAGAACATACAGAGTTAAAACAAATATACTAAAATTGATTTCACTTGTTTGCCTTGCTTTTTTAAAAAATAGGCTTCTAAGATATTTCAAATATCCCACCTGGCTGCATTTTTTTTATTGCACAATGTTCATCTAGACTATGTCCATAAAATACTTTCAATAGTCACAGTTTTAATAATACTGTATAATACATTGAAAAGTTTAAAATACCTTATTATACTTTTAAGTTGCTAAAAATACTTGAAACCTAAATCAGGCCTGAGTTAGTGTGGTAGATTACTTGGAGGGTAGTCAGACATACATCTCAACAAAAAATTTATCCCTAGCCTAGTGATGTGTACTTTAGTAACTGGTTAAGTAAAGTGGATCCTGGTTACCACTGCTCAATTTTATGTGACATTTATGTGACATTTATTAAGACATTATTTGTATAGCATTGCTTCCTATAAGCACAGAGACATAATGCAGTTTGTTGTAATGCAGTATTTGATATGTGCATTACACAGCATGGAATCTTTGAATGTAAATATAGGTGGTAAAATACTGAATTATAAAACTACAATTTCTATCCCTTATCCAAGAAGGCTTTCCTTGAGATATTTTCAAAGATGGGTTTTTGATGTTTATGTAATGGTTTCTGGAATGAGGAAGAGGAAGAGGAAGAGGAGGGAGGAGGAGGAAGAGAAGGAGAAGAAGAGGAAGAGGAAGAGGAAGAAGAGAGGAGGGAAGAGAAACAAGAAAAGAGAAATGTGATTTCAGCTTTAGGAGAGAATAAACTAAAATAGTGCTTCTTGAACTGTTATGTGTGCACAGATCATGTAGATCCTGATTCAGAATGTGTGGGGTGGGACCAGAGACTGTACATTTCTCACAAGTTTCACAAGTTTCTGAGTGATGCTGATTCAGATGATCAGTGGAGCACACTGAGTAGCAAGGACCTACAGCACAGAAATGTTTTGGGAAGCAAGAAATAAAAGAAAGAGAAACCCATTGGCTTGATTGGGGGCAGAAGAATGCAGGACACTTGAATCAAATGAGAAACTTAGGCAGGATGACAGAAATTTTACTTTGATAGGCATCCCATGAGGATTAGTGGCAATGTGGCAGAATGAGATATATGTTGAGAATGGTCAGTGTGTTTCTGACACTTAGGACAGATTAAGGTCATACTTGAAAGCATTCATAAGATTAAAGGAAAAGAGTGGAGTATATAGGTCTTCTCAAACATTCCTTTGATATTTCTACCCATGTAATCTCTGTGACTACACAGGTGCATTCTAACTGTTGAGGGGTGATGGGAAAGGAAGACCCCAGAATATTTCAGTAACTGGCCAATGGCAACTGAGCACTCTCTTTTGCTCATGATTTACCATCTCTATCCCTTAGAATGAGAGAAGAAGAGCAGATATACAAGATACAAGATACGTGCTCTGTAGAATTTGGAAGCCTGCCCAGAGACTAGCTATTGAATGTCATGAAATTTTTGGTGAGAGAAAGTGAGGGAGGGGGGGGGGAGGGAGAGCAAGAGTGTGTGTGTGTGTGTGTGTGTGTGTGTGTGTGTGTGTGTGTGTGTGTGTGAGAGAGAGAGAGAGAGAGAGGGAGAGAGGGAGAGAGGGAGAGAGAAAGAGAGAGAGAGAGATATCTGGGAGATGAAGAAGTATTTCTTGCATCCTTAGGAATTCAGATGACCAAAGAAAGTGCCCTTGTCTTAACAGAACAATAACCAATTAAAAGCAAGAAGAGAAGAAGAATAGCTTCTTCAAGAGCCAAGGAGAGTCAGACCTTGGGTAAGTTTAGAAAAATCTGATTCAGATGTCCAAGTAGAACTGTACATAATCTTTGGGCAAATGCGAGAATCCAGAGAGGCCTCAGAGCAGCTCATCACCAAATGAAAAGTCAGATTTTTCAGAGGCCATGCTTCACATTAGAGTGGACAACTCCAAGATGATGCAGTCTTCATCCTTCTGAGGAGAGGTGTGGATATATACTAGAAGTGCTATGTAGAAGCCCTGAAGTGAAACACAAATGCCTAGTTGTTGGCTTTGCTAGAAGTGGCAGCACTAGTGCCTTATGTTGAACTCAGTGGCCTTGGTGAGAAGACAGCTTAGTCCAGAAGGTGGCCAGACATTCAGAAGAGTCAAAACAGTTTTAGGGGGTCATATTTTCTACCATCATACATTTTCACTAAATTGTCAGAAGAAGGAACTTTCCATCTGGAAATCCATTTATGGTGAGATTAAAAATGGAGGAAACACTCACATGAAAACACTTTTGTAAAATATATTCTGTGTCACACTGATGCAATGACATATTTTAAAAAGAATTATGCAGGTGGCTTATCATCAAATAAGTTTGGAGAATATATGTTATATAGACCAAGGAATCTTTCCATTAAGAAACCTGTTAACTCTATAGCTCAGCATCCTGAAATTATGATCCTTGGCTACTGGTTTTAGGTAACAACTGTTAACATATTCTTCGACTTGATATTCTGCTAGACAACATTAGAAAC